GGGTCAAGTTCTTATGCATTGTGTTTACACTGGAAACGACTGTGGTGATTTACAGTGCTAGTCGATTTAGCGGAGTTGTTTATGGCATTGGTGCAGACGTTGTTGTGCGGGCCAAAAGCGGAGTGCGGGCGTGCACGCGGGCGGGCCAGGGTGCCGGGGGAGAGAGCAGGAATGAGCGAGGTGGTGGTGGTGGTGGTGGAGGTGGTGGCCGTGGTGATGGAGGAGATGGTGGCGGGCCGGGCCGTGCTCGCTTCCCGCGGCGCGACCCTCAGTTTGTGGCTCCACTGTGCCTCATTCACACGCGTCAGACCCGCTCCCTCCGCCGCAGACCTTGCCGTCACACAGAGTCCGCCTCCCCGGCCAGCGAGACAGCTCCGCGATCTCATCCGGAATTCTTTGCTCCCTCACTCACGTGATCAAAACAAGTGTCAACAGGTGTCTGCCGCGTCCGTCCCTGTTCTGCGTGAAGCACGTGCCTTGTGTCCCGTCCACACGTTCTCTCTCAAGTGCCAGTGCAGTGCCTTTTCCACACGTGCCTTCCTCGCTTGTGCCGCTGCTTCGCCGACGCGACCCACAGGTGCGCTTAGTGTCAAGATCCCGCCAGCGCTCTCGGCATTACGTGGCGCCTGCCCGCGGCGACTTCAAGTGTACAGGTGCCTCGTGCTTTGTGCGACTTTACGAGTGCGTAGGCGAGGGCGAAGGGGCAGCGAAGGCGCCATGGAAGATCACGGAAGGATGTGCACCTGCTGGTTCTGCCGCAACAAGAGCCTGTCCATCAACACCAACACCAGCTCCTCGGTCAGTACTACTCTTCTCTTCACTCCGCGGCGCAGCTCCGCCGGATACCTTCCTTGATCCCCATTCTTGCCTCGTGTCATGCCATGCCAGCAATGTCACGTCATGCCAAGTCCGGGGAAGTACCCGTGACTTTGAGCATGCAGTGGAAGTGTAGTGCAAAATCACCGACCAAATACACGTGTTTGCTATCGCCTGTCTCGTTATCCTTAATGGACAGTTACGGGTTCGTGATTGATTACACACGACGTTAACATAAGCAGGGAGAGAGAGAGAGAGAGAGAGAGAGAGAGAGAGGAGAGAGAGAGAGAGAGAGAGAGAGAGAGAGAGAGAGAGAGAGAGAGAGAGAGAGAGAGAGAGAGAGAGAGAGAGAGAGAGAGAGAGAGAGAGAGAGAGAGAGAGAGAGAGAGAGAAATAGAGAGAGAAATAGAGAGAGAGAGAGAAGAGAGAGAGAGAGAGAGAGAGAGAGAGAGAGAGAGAGAGAGAGAGAGAGAGAGAGAGAGAGAGAGAGAGAGAGAGAGAGAGAAGAGAGAGAGAGAGAGAGAGAGAGAGGAGAGAGAGAGAGAATAGAGAGAGAGAGAGAGAGAGAAATAGAGAGAGAGAGAGAGAGAGAGAGAGAGAGAGAGAGAGAGAGAGAGAGAGAGAGAGAGAGAGAGAGAGAGAGAGAGAGAAATAGAGAGAGAGAGAGTGAGAGAAATAGAGTGAGAGAAATAGAGTGAGAGAAATAGAGTGAGAGAAATAGAGTGAGAGAAATAGAGTGAGAGAGAGAGAGAGAGAGAGAGAGAGAGAGAGAGAGAGAGAGAGAGAGAGAGAGAGAGAGAGAGAGAGAGAGAGAGAGAGAGACGGGGGGAGAGAATCAGTAAAAAAAATTTTTGCTGTGGCATCGTATGCATGTGTGTGGGCCCACAAGTATGTTGTTGTGTATGCGCGTGAATGTATACATACAAGTTCTCTTGCGCGTGTGCCTGCGGGCGTGCATGTCTGTGTGCGTGCATGCGTATGTGTGTGTGCGTGTATGAGTGTGTCTAATTGTGTGTGTGTGTGTGTAATTGTGTGTGTGTATGTGTGTAATTGTGTGTTTGTGTGTAATTGTTTGTGTTTGTGTAATTGTGTGTGTGTGTGTGTGTGTGTGTGTGTGTATGTGTGTGTGTGTGTGTGTGTGTGTGTGTGTGTGTGTGTGTGTGTTTGTAATTGTGTGATTGTGTGATTGTGTGTGTGTGTGTGTGTGTGTGTGTGTGTGTGTGTGTGTGTGTGTGTGTGTGTGTGTGTGTGTGTCCGCGTGCGTGTATGAGTGTGAGAGAAGAGAGGATAGAGAGAGAGAGAGAGGAGAGAGAGAGAGAGAGAGAGAGAGAGAGAGAGAGAGAGAGAGAGAGAGAGAGAGAGAGAGAGAGAGAGCTGTGACCTTTTGGGCTACTTCAACATAACAGTGCACATTGTTTGACCGGGGAAATTGCGATTAATATAAAATAAATATGTAAATAATCTTGCATATTAATAGTATATGAGAAATGCTATGTACACTCCGTGAATGTGTGTGTGTGTGTGTGTGTGTGTGTTTGCGTGCGCTCGCGCGCGCGTGTTATGATACCAAAAAGAACGATTTTCGGTGGTTTTGCTACCTGACATTTCCTTTTGTAAGATTCACTAGGTCAGTTTTCCTTTCTGTTCGTCTCTCGTTTTACCTCACAAGTACAACTTCCTCTTC